TCTGGCCCGCCTTCACTTAGGGCGGGCACGAGGCTTGCTGAGGGCCTATGCCCAGAACATATGCATGTCGGCAAGGCCCCGTTGAGGGCTCAATCCTCACATTCCATCCCCCTTAGCTTCGAAAGTCCGCTGAGATGCTTACTTCGCAGGTGCCTTCCCCTTTAGCTGTCTTTCATATTCCGCCACCACTTGAGGTGTTGTTTCAATCAGTTCCTCTCTCGTGAACCACCGATCTTCTTTCGGATCTGTGTGATGACTGAATCTGACTTTGTATTCTCTCTTGGGTTTTGGAGGTCTTCCTCTGCCAAGAGGTCTGGGAACAGGCATGTCTCTATGATCTAGAATGTCGTCGATGTCCACGTGGCCATCCATGGTTGGGGGCAGCATTGATCTCCTTGAAGGAAATTGATCTGTCTCAGTGAAAGGTGCAAGCTTTGAGGCATGAAACACATGGTGCGTGCGCAAGTGACCAGGGATACGGATAACATAGGAAGGACCATTCATCTCATCCCCAACTATGTCGAGGACTTCCCAGGGACCAAAACACTGAGGCATTAGTTTTCGAGAGATACCGAATTCCTGTCCTAGCTCACTAGCCTTGACGCAGACACGTTTCCCTACCTGAAATGAGGACTGTCGGCGATGTGTGTTCTCAGAAGCAATCATTGCTTGCTGAGATTTCCTGATGTGCTCGACAGCTTGCTGTAGCAACTTCTCATACTGCACACCATACTCAAGTGTGCCCGGAGTTGCAGAGGGTCGGTTTTGAGGCAGGAGGAAGTCCAAAGCTGATCTAGGCTTCCATCCCAAGTGCAGCTGATTAGGACTGACGCCGGTACTGTTGTGTACAACGTTGTTGTACAGGCTGGCGATGAGAGGCAACTTCTCATCCCAGTCATCCTGGCTGGGCTTGATGTAATGCCTCAGCAGGTGTTGTACAACTCTGTTCATCTGCTCGGCCTATCCGCTGGCTTCGGGATGATTCCCGGAGGTCATCTGAACTTGACTGCCCAATTGCTCAGCAATCTTCTTCCACAACTCACTTGGGAAGCGGGCATCTCTGTCATTAACGATTCACTTTGGCAGTCCAAAATCACGCACCCAGTTGTCCATAAACAACTTGATGACGTGTTCAGTCCTTGCGGTCTCTCGCATGACAATTAGTCTAGTGTACTTGGTGAATCGGTCTATGATGACAAAGATGTGCCTCTCGACATTCCTATTGGTCACCAGGGTGTCCATGAAATCCATGGAAACACTCTGTCCCGGACCAGCGGGGATAGGTAAGGGCTTCAGCAACCCAAGCGATGCTTGAGTTCGCGGCTTGTGTCGCTGACAGACCTGACAGGTCTCCACATACTTCTTTGCATCATCTAGCATTCCGGGCCACGAAAATCGCTGTACTAGATTGGCACTCGTCTTTTTGTAGCCAAAGAGTCCAGTTGCGTCACGACATTCTCCTAGAAATAAACTGCGCAAATGCTCACTAGGCGGAATAACTAATCTTTTAAATCCGGCCTTATCAAGAAAGAGTAGCCCGTCCACCATCACAAACTCATCTTCTGTGGCCTTATCTTTCGCCTGAAGTTTGCGTATGATGTCCATCGTGACAGGGTCTTCCTGATAGGCTCCCACCAACGATTGAGTTACTTCCTCAGATACACTAAACTCATAAACTAGCGCACCTAGGTAGTCTGCTCTACGTGATAGCGCATCCGCAACCTTGTTGTACTCTCCCTTCAGATACTCTAGCTTGGAGTCATACTGATCTATGACCTCAATCCAACGCTTGAGTGCATCAGAAAGAGCCGGTTGAGTCTTGATCCATTTAAGGGTCTGATGGTCAGTTCTCAAATAGAAAAACCGTCCCAACAAAAAGTGCCTCCAATGGACAAGTGCCTTGTAGAGAGCATAGAGTTCCCTTTCATAGGTGGACTTTGCCAGTTTCTTTGATGGCATCTTTTTGCTCATATACTCAATCGGTCTCAACTTCTTCGCATCCTGCTGAGCCAGCACTGCGCCAATGCCGTATTGGCTTGCGTCAGTGGTCACAATAAAAGGCTTCTGAGGATCGGGCACCATGAGAACCTCATGATTCATGAGTGCATGCTTCAATCATTTGAAAGCAGCCTAGCACTCATCACTCCAGTCTCATGGCGTGTCAAGTCGAGTTAGATCGGTCAAAGGAGAGGCGACTGTGGAATAGTTCTTCACAAAGTTCCTATAGTAGCCGCACATCCCTAAGAAAGATCTGACCTCAGTAACAGTCTTGAGGTCGTGGCCAGTCCCTGATACTAGCCACCTTCGCATCTTCCGACCTAATTCCTTTCGCGGATACCTCATGACCCAAGTATAAGATCCTAGTGTGTTCAAACTCACATTTCTCTAGGTTGAACTTGTGCTGTCGTAGGAGTGATAGTACGGTCTCTACGTGATGTGCATGCTCCTCGACAGACTTACTAAAGATGAGAATATCGTCAAGGTACACGACGACAAACTTATCCAACTAGTCATGAAAGATCCTATTCATGGCGTGCTGGAATGTACCCGGCGCATTGCAAAGGCCAAAGGGCATCACCACAAACTCGTACAGACCGTATCTGGTCCGAAATACAGTTTTGTGCTGATCCTCAGGTCTTATAGCAATCTGATGGTAGCCGGACTTTAAGTCTATCTTGTTGTATTACTTACATCCTTGCACCCTATCCAATAGGTCGTCTATACGAGGTAGAGGCTCTGCGTTCTTCACTGTAATGGCATTGAGGCCTCTGTAATCAATGCACATCCTCGATGTCCCCCCCTTCTTCGGTACAAATAGCACTAGAGATCCGAAGGGGGAAGTACTCATCATCCAACCCTTTTCTGTCAGCTCTTTCAGTTGTCGCCGAAGTTCGTCCAACTCGGCCGGAGCCATCATATAGATCCTTCCCTTTGGGGTTTTACTCCCTAGAATGATTTCTATGGCCTGGACAATCTCCCTATCTACGACTCCTATGGGCTCCTTGAACAGATCAGAGAACTTAGCAATGACGTGTTCTATCTCTGGGGGTGTTTTAACGACCTCCCCTTTCTCAAAGATATACACTAGGTACATACCCTCCTCTTGGTTCTGTTTATAGTAATTATAGAACGCCGATGCACACAAGCAGCCATAGGTTTCTATTAAACTACTGGCCTTGTACTTGGCCAGTCTCACGGTCCTTCCATCAGGCAACTTATGCTTTAGCACCTTCTTGTCCCAGTCAAACTGGGGCTTGGCAACCTCAAGGTGGTAGTACATTCCTAACAACATATCAAATGGTAAGTCGTCGCTAACCAAGAACGAAATCTTGTGATTAAGTTCCCCTCCTCCATAGGAGAAGGTGCAGACTACATACTTGACATAGTCTGACACTACCATGTGCTCCTTGTTGGCCAACGTAGATGCTACAGGTCTACTAAGGTGTTGTGCCCGGTCCTCTACGCGCAGCCTTTCCAAACACTCGCGTCTTATGTAATTTCACGTGGAGCCGATGTCTACGAAGGCACCACATTTGCGGCCTCTTACAGCAACTTCCACGACGAAATGTTCCCCTCTAGGACCTCTACTTACTGCCACCCAAGATTCGCGAGGGTCCTTACTTGACCACTCACTTTCTAAATCTTCTAAGGCCTCAGACACATCCAACGCACAGAGCATAGTTTGGTCTAGATGAGTCTGCAGGGTGACTAAAGAAGCATTAGCTATGGCCATCTCATGAAGTGGGGAGGGTATCTGGCCCACTTCACCATGAGTAGAAGCAGCTAAAACTTCCACCGGCCTCAAGTGTTTCCCGAGCCGAAACCCTGGGAAGAAGGCACCCCTCCCTTAGGGGGTATCTTCTGCCGTTTGCGTTCCTGCACTTGTACTGGGTGTGTCTGTATTCACCACAGTTAATGCAAGCACCACTCACTCGGCGGTCCCGCCACACTTCCTGATCAAGACCTGCCTTGACCCAATCTGCTACTTTGGACTGATTGGAGGCGGTCTGCCCTTGACTCTTTTGATGGCCCTTACCTCGGCCACCTGCCTTAATCTTAACTACTGCGGCGAGGGTGCTACCCTCAGCGACTTCCTCGCCGTTGTACTCTGAACTGTCCATCAGGTCGACAAGTTCGTCGATTTCAATTTGAGTCCCATCGTACTCGACCATCATCAATCTACTACCCTTCTTCTTCCATTCCTGTGGACTCTTCTTCTTCCTCCCGTCTACTGGAGTAGGTTGAGCACTTCCTAGAGTAGGCTCCAAGTCTAGGGCCTTTCTAGAGAAGGTCTCAAACGAATGATACGCGAGGCGTGCCTCGCTGGCCAGTAAGGTCCTGAGATTCTCGGGCAGACATCTCAAGAACATGGTCAATAAGACCTGGTCATCGTAGCGTATACCGGGAACAACGATGAGGTTCTCTACGGTAGACATTACCTCTCTGATTGACTTGTACTTTCGCTGGTCCAGTCTCAACATCGCGTCAGTGGCAATTTGTGCCTGCTGCGGATTATGCCATCGAGCTTCTACCATAACCAAGAACTCTTCTAAAGTGAGGGCCTTACCCCAATCTGCCATGCGTCGTCCGAACCCCACCTTCGCTACTATCCCATCCAGCCATTTGGCTGCCTTACCCTCAAGGTAAGATGCAGCAGTAGTCACCTCCTCCTGCAACGTCCTCTTTGCCCTTACCCACATTGGAACCGTTCTCAACCAAGTGTCGAGTTCCTCGTCCTTCTTCTCACCGGAGAAGGCAAGGGGCGGTTTCATTGGGGTCTTTGGGTACCATTGACCTTGCGGCTGTCCCTGTGGTGGAACAAGTTGTTGCGGTGATTGTGTAGCTATCACCGCTGGACCAAAAGAAGAAGAAGCAACAGTCTGTGCGGCTGCTGCAGACGTTCCACTTGGCTGTGTGCCAGCTTGTACCGGGAAGGGGCCTGACATCGCCGTTAACGGCAACGGCGACTGTGCTGCTGGCCGTAATCCTGGCCTTTGCAAAAGGTCCAAGATTTGGTCCAAGGAGTTCTGCATGAAATCCAGCCTACTGTCCACGTTCGCATGCAACAATAGTATGCTGGCCTTCAACACCTTCATTTGGTCAGACATGGATGACTCATCCAAACCCTCTAATACAGCTTTGTCTGCCTCTACCGTATCAAGCCTAGTTGTTCTATTTTTTCTCTCTTTTTCTTTATCGGTAGCTTGCTTCAGTTCCCTCTCTAACTGAGCGTGGATCCTTTCGACTTGTTGGAGCTCTAGTAGTTGCAAAAGGTCCAAGATTTGGTCCAAGGAGTTCTGCATGAAATCCAGGCTACTGTCCACGTGCGCATGCAGCGACAGTACGCTGGCCTTCAACACTTTCATTTGGTCAGACATGGCTGACTCATCCAAACCCTCTAATGCACCTTTGTCTGCCTCTAACGTATCAAGCCTAGCTGTTCTATTTTTGATCTCTTTTTCTTTATCAGTAGCTTGCTTCAGTTCCCTCTCTAACCGAGCGTGGATCCTTTCGACTTGTTGGAGCTCTAGTAGCTCTCTGCCGCGTGGGGTCAACGGACTGAACTGCGAGCCCGCCATTTGACTTGTGGACTAACTATAACCTACAGATCCAGAAGTACCCGTGGGCCCCGGGGGCATCCCCAACTGGGTCCCAGGCGAGGTTGCAGCAGAGGATGCTGCCGCGGTAGCCATTGCTGCTGCTCTAGCTGCTGCTACTGCCCTAACTGCTGCGTTTGCTGCTGCCAACGCCTGACTTGCAGCTAGTGCTGTTTCCCTCGCTGCTGCGTAAGCACATGCTCTAACTTCGGCACGAAGTCGTCTTTCGTCCTCCGGCCGTAGGGCCTGATACATGTACAGGACCCTAAGTGATCTCGAACGTGTCAGCCTCGCATCGTCGATTGTACCCTCATCCGCATCTGACCCACTCATCAGTTAGGCAAACACTATATGCACTGCAACTCCCTGCTGGAGTCCTACCACAGCATGTGTCTGACCGGCACCTAATTTTCTAAAAATAAATGTGTTTGGCAGGTCCCCTATTTAACCGATCAAGTGGCAGCCTTACAACATTCACAAAGACTGTAAACATAGTTTAGTTATATCAAGATTAGTTCACTTACAGAAGCTTTGCATAGAACTGGCTATGGTAGTATACAACAGTCCTAAACTAAGCTGTATGTGAGGTATTAGCAGTCTGTCAACCAACTAATCAATAATAAAACTAAACTACATTGTAGATGTATGAACAATGGATATGGTTGTGTTTACAGTTGAGCACCAATTGGAACCTACCCTCCCCTCAATCCAACATACCGATGAGCATCAACAAGCAGCAATGTCATAGGTGTGCAATATCGGCCCACCCCTGTGCCCTAGGTGAATGCTTATGACCAGGCTTGCCCGTTATTTATCCTCGCGTGCAACTAGCCTACATCCGACTCATCTGGCTGATCAAGAGGCTTATTTAAGGACTGCCCCCAAGGTCGCTCAGGAATTATTTAACGTCGCAATCAGGACGACGATATTAGCCAGTGGACAGATCGGAACCCCATCCAGAAATGTTTACAGACGGTATAGGAGCGTCTGCATAAGCCTGTTCAGTCCGCACACCCCTCTATCAGCGCAACAAAAGTGCCCTCATGGACAAAGCAGCCATCGCATGTGTGTACTAATCCCATTCGGTTGGCATGTTGATCGTGACCCACGTGCTTCGACCAGGGCCCTTCAGAGGCACCGCCCTTTCTCCTTCCAAATGCGCCACCGAGAAGATTGTCGCCTCTCAACGTAGAGCACTCACGACACCTCACCAAAAGAGAGGACTCTCAAGTTGGACTCACTTCCTCGCGGTAAGAAGAGATTGAGGGGGTAGATAAGGTAAGGGAACAATGTACCTGGAGATAGCTGCCCCCAACCACAAATTTCTCACCAATTGAGCCGAATGTGCATTTGATGACCGGTCGTAGCCTCGGTACCACCCACAAAGTAATGCAGTGCCACCTCAGCCAAATGCCACATCAGCATGCTCTCATCACCAAACATACATTCTGTCGTCGCCACCGCATCCCAAGCCGTAGTAGCCTTCCGGCCCACACCTCTCTACCCGAAGTAGCTCTCTCTCTTGAATGGCGCCAGGCGGCCTATCAACTCTACAGCCTAAACCTAACACTACAACACGGAAGCAACCAGACTACTTGACGACCAGCGAGTGATGACGTCAACACCAATGCCGACCTCCTCTCCACCAAGTACGTCTCTCTCTCTTCCCTCACTCTCCCTTGTTCTCCCACACAGCGCCCTTCACCTTCTGAAGAACCACCTTCACCCTCACCTCCTCCAGCACCCTCATGCAGCCTGGCTATGCCTGCCAGCGCTCTGCACCCAGGCTGCGCCCTACCGCTTAGCGCCAGCCTGCCTTCACTCAGCCTAGCGCACCGCAGCACCTGCACTCGCAATGCAGCAGCGTGTCGGCTTTGCTCGCAATGGCCAAGATCCCTGCCCACTCGCCTGTTCTACCTCTATGCCAGTGTTGCGTGTGGGTGGTCTGCCTTGAGCCTGCGCGTGGGCCCCTATACCTGTACCCAGGCCCAATGCAAATGGGGCCCAGGTAATACAGTTGCGCCCCTTATGCTAGGGTCGTTGTATTGATTCAGGCCCTGTACCGGTTTCCCATTGGTTTCCTCGGCCTCGACGACGAAATACTGCTTTTCTGAGGCCAGGGACCAATGTGCGATGTGTCGGCCTCCGAGACTGCCGCCCAGGGCTCAACCAACCGAGGCCCTGGGCTCAACTGCCTTTGCAGGAATCTGAGGATCACGATGCACTCCAACCAACTGGCGTGCGGCAACTGTCTGACACCCACTTTGTGAAATGCTGAATGAAGGTCTCTCGTGGATATTCTGGCCCGCCTTCACTTAGGGCGGGCACGAGGCTTGCTGAGGGCCTATGCCCAGAACATATGCATGTCGGCAAGGCCCCGTTGAGGGCTCAATCGTCACATATATTTTAATTCAAAATTTAATTTTTACAATTTTTCTTACAATTCAAAAATTCTTTTTTTCAATTCTTTTTCAAAATTCTCTTTTTAAGTACTTCCTTTTTTTTTCCCTGAAATCCTTAATTAATTTCGACTAAACTTGATTAATTCACGACTGAATTAATCTCTTTTATCTCTTTTACTCGAAACTAATCACCCCTTTTCAAAATTATAAAATTCTGCCCCGAACGAAAATACGAATAAATTTTGTCAAAATCTAGGCTACCTGAGTGGCCCAGGTCCACTTGCCCGGGCGGGCCAAAATGAAATAAAAAAATAAAAAAATTAAATTAGTTTTTAATTAAACTTTTAACGTAAATTTGGTAAAGAATTTCGATGTGGTAAATAATTTCGATGCGACCCTCGGGCAAAAGTTGTTCAGTTTATTTTTTCGCATGACATCCTTTTTTTTCGGATTTTTTGGATTTTTTTTTTTTTTTTTTGGCTGGGACCTTCCCCAGTCCTTGTACGACCGAGCTGCACGAGAAAAGAGGGTGACCCGGGCGGCCCGGCTGGTAGCCTAGGTCAAAATTTATTTTTCCCGAAATTAATTATTTTTTTCTTCATTTGGAAATTCATGAAAAATCCGCTTTCGTATTTTCTTGAAAAGTACAATCATGAATTAATTTTGAATAACTTCAAATTAATTTACTCAAAATTAATTCTTGCTCTGCGATGTTTTTCTACCTTCATTGCTAAATCACTTGATTCTAGTAAATAGGAAACCCCCCCCCCCCCCCCCCCCCCCCCCCCGGGATGCCACGCTCAACCAAGAACTCTCAACTCGCAGCCACCAACGCCGCCGCTGTTGCCGCCGCCTCCACCTCATCTGCTGCTAACTCCCCAGCTGCAGCTACCACTGCTTACTCCCCCACCATGGCCCAATCATCCAGCATTGATATATGCGGCATCCACTCCGACTCCTTCTACAGCATCGCCCGCAACCTCGCAGGCGAGCAAACACCAGCACCCGATGTCACCATCGACCTCGCGGCTCCTTTCCGCATGATGACATCTCTCCAGTCATCCATGGACGGCATCAAAACGTCCGTTTCCACCATCTCTGCTCGTGTGACCGCCATTGGAAGTCACACCCCCACCATCCAGGTCGTCACCACCACACCCCCCCCCACCTCACCTCGGGTGCGACCACCCTTCCCCCATCCTCTGCCTCCACGTCTACACCAATCACCCCGTCCTCCACATCCACCCCCCTCTCCGCTAGCATATCATCCACACCTCTGCCTTCATCCACCACTACCTCCACCTTGGTCACCAAGACGACAACCCTCGCTGTCACACAGTCATCAACCATTCCCTCCCAGTCAAAACCACTCATGACTGCATCCAATATCACTTCCACTCATACCAGATCACCCCCACACCTCAAGCCCTGCTCCTCATCCCAACACTTCCTCCGTCCACACTCCTCCCGACCAATCCCACTACCGACTTCACCCGGGTACCATCCTCCTTCCCAAACTTGATTTCAACACCCTCGCCACCACAACACCCTTAACGGGTAACATTCCCCCATCCTTCTGGTCAACGGACATCCCCCCCTTCACCGACCTTCCCCACGAGGACGTCTTCGTCTTTCTCAGCAAACTATATGATGCCTTCTCCTTCCACAACGTCCCTGTCACACACTGGCTCCCTATTGCCAGCACCAGGCTACAAGAAGGCGCCGCTTGTTGGTGGTAAACCGAACGAGCTAACCGCCAACACGCAAACGAGGAACCCCATTCCTTCCTTCAGTGGGCAAATCTCATCACCTGCACATTCCCACCACAAAAGACGGTCGATGACTACTTTGAGCAACTCTGCCGTCTTCGACATAACGACCCGATCGACCACTTTGTCCAATACGTCCGTGCGTTGCGGCAACACATCCCCCTTGACTACATCAGTGATGGGAGCCCGGTCCACCGGCCGGTCCAACCAGGAGGCTCTCGGTTGGCGGAAACGTTCCCGAGCCATCCGGGGACCAGCACTGGAGCAAAAAGAACTACAACTCAGAAGGTGAGTTAGCAGCAGAGAACAACACATTTGCTATGAGAGGAGACAGCAAGGGATAGATCCGCTGCTGCCTGACCATATTCAATTCTATGGATGAACGTTTCTCTCCCTTGTCACACAAGAGAGTTTCACTTCTATAAAGACAGAGCTTATAGCACACACCACTGCAGATGTGTATACACGAGTGAATTAGATTCCAACATTCAAAGCTTCCACCCATTACTGAACAACGGCTACCACAACACTGCCTTACGACAGTGTCAATCAGACTCATCAGAGCGCACACAACCTTTATACCTTCTGAGAGATTTAACCGAGGACAGCAAGTTTGTTCAACATTCTCTCTCTACATCAGGGCCCAGACCACCTTCTACCTTCCTTCCAAGAGCTACAACACGACTTCCTGTTACAAACACAAAACCAAAAACACTATTCTATAAGAAAACAGGGCAACATTACTGGTGGAGGCAGTTGAACAGCTATGTCAAAGGTGACTTCTCAAGCACGACGAGCCCCAGTCTGTCTCAAAATGGTATCAAATTCGCAGCTGCAGTCTAATCATTCAGAGCCAACCCCAGCCTAACATTGCCATGCCTTTTTGTCCCCGGATCCGAATCCCCCCAAAGAAAACAAATTTGAAAAGAAAAGAAGAAAAAAAGGGGGGGTTGGGCAGAGATGCCGCCTACCCGCAGGCATTTTCTGCATTTTGCAAAAAAATGGCCTCTCGGGAACCTTCCCCAGGGATAGACCCTCCCCTGCCGAGACCAGCGTGGCCCTTCATGCGGGGGTGGAGGTTGCTGGTGCGGGAACGGGGGTGCTGGGGCCAAAAGTCGAAGTGCGGGGGAGAGGGTGGCAGCGGGGGTCGGGGTTGCGGGGGTCCGGGGTCAGGGGCGGGGGTGCAGGGTTGGGCTACGGGGGTCTCTCTCTCCCTTCCTCTCTCTCTCTCTCTCTCTCTCTCTCTCTCTCTCTCTATGTCGGGTGGCGGGGGTGGTGCCGATTGTCGGGTGCGGAGATCGGTGTGCGGGTGCGGGGATCTGGTGCGCGGCCAGGGGTGGCTGGTGGGGTTTGGGGAGCGAAGATCAGTGGGGGCGCGGGGGTGGCGGGGTTCCCCGATGTCGGGGG